GCAGGACGGAGCACCCGTGGGAAGGAGCTTAGTGGCTGCTAATCCAGGCACAGCCCTGGAAGGTCAGCCCTGGGGTCACCAACGAGCCCTGTCAGGGATCAGGGTCCCCACATCTGCCCTTCTGGCAGCAGAACAGGGATGTCCATCCAGCTGGGAACGGGGAATCATCCACAGCTGGAGAACTCCCAAAGGCAGGGATGGGAAGAGATGCCCCGAGGTCCCCATCTCTCCTCCCCCAGCCTGGTTAAATCCCTCGGCGAGGCCCTGGATCCCCCAGCAGATGGTGTGAAATCCCGGCAGCAGCGCCCAGTGCCCTGCTCTGGGGGACACTCTGCCCTCTGCGTCAGGAGGGGACGGGCAGGAGGAACCTGGGGGCTCTAAAGGGGTCCCCTTTGCTGTGCTGAATCCCACGGCGAGAGGTTGTTACCGCCCCAGAGCCTGGTGTCAGCCACTGCAGGCAGCACCCCTCAGCCCAGCACCCCTCAGCCCAGCACCCCAGTGCCCAGCGTCGCTCCAAGAAGGAGCAGCCCGAAGGGGCACAGGCAGCTCCCCAGCGCAGTGTCCTCTGCACCAGGAGGGAACAGGGTTTGGCCTGGACCAGCAGCAGCCTCAGGATGAAAAACCAAACCCTGAACTCCCCCTTAGGGGGGACTGGCCAGGGAGGTATGAAAATGCCAAGACCGGGCTCAGCATCCTGGTTCTACTCCAAAAAAAAAATCCCAGGTCTGCTGCACCCAGGTCACCCCTGACCAGATCCTGGCCACAAAAATGCCAGATTCATTCCAATTTGGGCTTAAAAGGTATATGAGGGAGCAGAGGCAAATGCTGGCACAGACTAATTTGGAAACAAGCCTGCACCATCCAAGTGAATCACCTGTGGAAAAGCTGGAGAAGAGCAGAGAACAGGAGCTGGAGCCGCTGGGGCAAGGACAGATGCAGTGACAGACACGAGGGACACGCTGGCAGCGCCAAAGGCTGTGCCCCATTATGGTCCTGGTGGACACCAGTAAAGACACCAGTAACGTGGCAAGGGAAAAATAGCACGTCCCACCACCCTGCCCCATTGCCTGCAGGGACCAAGGGGGATACAGAGACACTCCATAACTTGTGGACCCACCTGGGTCCTGCCTGTCACCCAGGGGCCACAGAGGGTGAAGGACAGGGGGCAGGAGCTGCTGACTCCAAAATGGTGTGAAAACATCAGCCCTTTGTCTCCCGTGCTGAGGGATAGAGGGTGGGTGACCCCAGGTGGCCCCAGCCACAGCACCCAGGTCTGACTTCCAGTAACTGTGCACAGGTGACCAGAATTGACCATGACTCGAGGAAAACCCTTCATGGGGTTCTGAACTGGGTCAGACTGGGCTGGGGCTGGAGCTCCCTGTCCCAGCTGCATCCCCAGGCACTGGAAACACCAAACCAGCCCCAGCAGAGGCTTTATGGACTAAGAGAACTGAGCCGAGGACTGACTCGCAGGGAGACTTTGGCGAAGGTGAAAATACCCACAAGCAGGTGCAGCCCCCAGGGTGCAGTGGGACCCCCCCCCACAGGCCCCTCTATGGGGCAGCACTGTCAGGCATAGGCAATGTTTGCTCTCCTCCCCAGGCCTCCTGTGGGGAGGGCGTTTTACCCTGTGCCATCAGAGACCCTATCCTGAGCTCCCTCCTCCCATTATAGTTGGGCTCGATGATCATAAAAGTCTTTTCCAACTAGAATTATTCTGTTCTATGATTCTTTTATGGCAGCCCCAGGGCTCCCCACTGTGGTGCTGGGTGCAGCCCCCGTACCCAAGCAAAGACTAAACCACAACTCAACTCAGGCAGGAGCTCCCTCCACCAGTGCTTTATTCCCTGCCAGCCCCCCTGTGCTCACGCCAGGCTGCCCGGGGGGGTTGGGTGCTTGGCAAGGGCAGCAGACAGCAGCCTCAGCCCTCCCAGGTCTGGTTAAAAGAAGGGGAAAAGTCCAGACAGGTTCTGCCTCACCCTGTAAGCCCTAATAGCAGCACCATTCCCTGTAGAAAGACAAAACACAGCCAAATCTTCTAAAACTTTGCCACAAAACAACCCCTATCCCAGGGCAAAGGCTGCCGTGAGCAGAGCCCCTGCCTGCCCCAACAGGAGAGGCCAAACCCACCACAGAGGTGAGGAGGGACCCGGCTCAGCACCAGCACCAAGGGCTATTTCAAGGCATCACACCTATCAGAGCCAGTGCCCAAAACCATCCCTAGCCCCCAGCAAAGCTCAGGTGGGGCAAATCGAGCCGTTTCACCCTAAGCTACCACAGCAGCACCAGCCCAGAGCAGCCCCGGGCCCCGCGTAGCTGCGACAGGCCCCGGCGTGCGGAGCAGTGCCCACCTGCTCCAAGCCCCGAGCCAGGCTGTGGGCAAGCAGTGCTGGTCCTGGCAGGGGAAAAGGGGCAGATCCAGGAAACAAGGGGTGGTGGGGAGGGGGAACAAGTAGCAGCTCAGCCTGGATTTGGAAAATAGGCAACTATAATTGTGGCAGAGAGCAAATCCACTTCCTTCTCCACCGGGCACGGATCCACGTCGGCGGTGCAGGCCGTGCAGGCGCAGCGGGGGCGGGAGCTCAGCGGGGCTCAGGCAGGGGCCTGCAGCTTGCAGAGCCCATCGGCGTACTGGAACTGGGCACCGTTCTCGTACTCGTACATGTCCAGAGCCACCTGGCAGCTCTCCCGCACCACGCGCTCCTCGTCCTGGGCGAAGGCGCGCAGGGTCTCCAGGCAGGAGGGGCGGGCGATGGCGCCCAGGGCCTCGGCGCACTCGTGCCGCACCATGGGGCTCTCGGAGCGGCTGCGCGGCCAGGCCGTCAGCTGCGGGACACAGGCCTCGTGCTGCAGCTGCCCCAGCACGTACCCGATCTCGTGGCGGAACAGAGCGCTGCCCGCACGCAGCCCTGCGGGAGGAGGGTACCCTGAGCTGCTGCTGCCCCAGGACGGGCTGGCATGCACGGCAGCCCCCCCACCCAAAAGCCAGGGGAAGCCACGGGGCAGGCTGGTCTGGTGGTCAACACCTCAAGACCCATGGGGGCTTTTGGGGAAGGGGACAAAACACGCAATGGAAGGGCCATCCCACCCTGACCCCGCTCCCTGTGCCCGCACAACTAGGGCAGCCCCAGCCCCACGTGCCCACAGCCGTGCCCCGGGAACACCCTCCTGGCACAGCCCTGGCACTCTCGCCTGCCTTGGGGAGCCAGCACTGCCCCAGAGCTGCAGCAGGAGCTCATGGATCTCTGTGCTTGTGTCCCTGGTTCATCCCAGGTGGCTGCAGAGCCTCAGCCACTTCCCTCAAGCTGGGGGTTGGGCCCAAACAGTTCCCAGGCTGTGGCTGCCCCTTCCCCACCCAGCA